GCAGCCGAGCGTCTTGCGTTGCCGTGTCACGTAGTGTATCCCGTCCGGTTGTCTTCTCTGACTTTCCAGAGTGTGCCAGGCAAAAGCGCAGGCTCTTGAGCAGCGAGCGGACACGGTAAAAATAAGGCTGGGCTTTGGAAATGTAGCTGTGCTCACGGGTGCAAGCCGAGACGGGTTTCTATTTTCAATCACCCTGATGTATTTCTGAAACCCCTTTTTTTCCCCCCTTTATTTTTTCATTTTGCCGCAGATGCTCAGAAGTGTGAGCTGATCTGCCAGTCCGAGGGAACGGGGGACGTGGTCTTCATGAACCAGGTGGTTCACGACGGGACCCGCTGCTCTACCGAGACCCCTACAGCGTCTGCGTCCGGGGCGAGTGCGTGGTGAGGAGCTGATGGCTGCTGCGGCACCGTCCCTGTCCTTTGCCCGTCCAGGAGAGAGCTCGTGCGTCCCCTTGACCCGCTGCCCCTTGGGGACGCGTGGTTTTAGCCCGGGGACGGGCTGTGGGGACGGCGGAGCGCTGGGGTGGGCTGCAGGGAGGTAACCCCATGCTTGTCTTCTCTTCCCCACGGGTGACAGCACGTCGGCTGTGACAAGGAGGTCGGCTCCCTGAAGCAGGACGACAAGTGCGGGGTCTGCGGGGGGGACAACTCCCACTGCCGGACAGTGAAGGGCACGCTGGCCAAGACCCCCAAGCAGCCGGGTGAGTGGGCTGGGCGGGTTTGGGAGCGGATTCGGTCGGGGTCAGCTGGATTCAGACATGGGTGCAAGCGGGTGCGCGTCTGGGTGGGGCGAACCTGCTCTTCCTCTTCCCTCCATCCTTCCTCCCTCCCTTTCAGCAGGTGTTTTGAAGATGTTTGAGATTCCGGCTGGGGCGAGGCACCTTCAGATAGAAGAGATGGAGCCAGCGTCCCACAGCATCGGTGAGCACGCTGTAGTTCACCTCTCCCTTCACCCTCTACCTCTTTCTTGACCCTATGCTGACAATTCCCACCCAAAAGGTCTTACCTGGGTCGTTCCAGTCCTCCAAAGGCAGTGACCCGAGGAAATGACATTGAAATACCTCCTTTCTCCTCCAGCTGTCAAGAATCAAGCCACGGGTAACTTCATCCTTAACGCCAAGGGCAAAGAAGCCAAAAGCCAAGTGTTCATTGAGATGGGCTTGGAGTGGGAATACACCGTCGAACGTGGCAAGGAGAGCCTGAAAACCAGTGGTCCTCTGCACGAGGCCATCAGCGTTTTGGTAAGCCTGACTGACGCGTCCCGTGGGGGGTGTTGGGGGTGACCGTCACCCAGCGCTACGGAGAGGGAAGGTGGTGTGAGATGGGATGTTGGAGGTGATGGAAGGACTTTGGTGGAGAAAGGTTGTAGGACGTGTCGTTAAAACCAGCCAAGAGCCAGGGACGATGAGCTGCATGCAAGAATGGCATAAGGACGGGTTGCTCGGGCGCTCGCCTTTGAGTCCACCTGTATTTTGCTCTGTGCAGCAATTGCTTATGAGTCCACATCTCCTTTGAGTTATACTGGTATTTGGGGGAGTTAGGGACTGGGTTCCTGGGCAGCCAGGGAAGGATAGTTCTGCACTCCTGTCCATCCCCGTGGCCGGCGCTGGCTTTGGGCGTAGGCTGTGGTCCTGCAGGTCGGAGGAGAGGCCAGGGGCACGCTACCCACGGCTGGAATTGGGAAGTTTGGGCAGCAATTTTCTCCGCAACTGGAGAGGTCCGTTCCTGAAGGGTAGACTCTGTGTTCAGAGCCCGCCTAATTATGTTGGAGGTGGTAACGGGGTCTGTTTCTCCTACTCTGGTGTGTACTCTACCTTGTGGTCATTGCTCGCTTTTTTTTTTGTTTTTCTTTGATGGCCTCCTCTTCCCTTCCCTCTCCCATGGCATCGCTCTTCCTTCACCTTCCCCCTCTCCGATTATCCTCTCTCTGCCCGCAGGTCATCCCTCAGGAAGAGGAGACGAGGAGCAGCCTGATGTACCGGTACATCATCCACGAAGACCTGCTGCCCATGATCGGAAACAACAATGTCCTGCTTGAGGAGATGGATTCCTACGAGTGGGCCCTCAAGAGCTGGTCTCAGTGCTCCAAGGCGTGCGGAGGAGGTAGCTTTCCCTTCGTAGCAACCTACAGCGCGTGCTTGGGAGGTTGCTCGGGTACGGTAGGGAGCGCGGGAGCCCTTTGGGGTATTTCTGGCTTGGAAACGCGCAGATGCTGTTTTAAAGCTTTTCTCCCCAAGGTCAAACATAGACCTGGACCTGGTACTGCTTGGAAGCCTGGCTTTCTTCTCCGCACCCATACCCGTGTTCTTTGCATCTCCATGATTTGGGAGATCTACAACGCGGGAACATGAGTGTTAAAAGCCATTATCGCAGAGCCGTTTAGGGGAGCGTTTTAGCCAGATTTCTCATGAAAACAGGCTTACGTGATCACGCGTGCATACCTTTGTCTGTCTGTCCACGTAGTTTCTGTGAGTTTTTAATTCGTTGGCTGTTTTTAACCCAATTTGAGCCAACCGGTAGCGATTTTGCAGATGACTCCTCCTAAAGCTTGCACGGAAATAGTTTTGGACACACCAGTGCCGTGTTGCAGGGCAGGTAGCACACGCGAGCTCCTGGCAGAGTCGTTGCTGGATTTTTCCCTCTGGGAGGAAGCAGCTGTTGGACCAGAGACCTCCAGAGGTCACTTCCACCCTACCTGACCCTCAAATGATGAAGAAGGTGCTTTCACTTTGTACCGTGCAGCTCGTGGCTAGAAGATTTTGGGACTTGCAGAGCTGGAAAGCGAGCCCTCGCTGGCTCCCCGGACCTTGCCGCAGCAGGGCTCCTGGCAGGGCTGCAGGCAGCTCACGGTTAAGGCTGGCTTAGCCGCGGTCTGGTCTGCTCCCAAGCAAGCGCAGCTCATCTGGCACGTTATAGCTGTGCTTTGGCTGGGCTCGCCATGTGCTGGGTTTTTATGTTGTTCTTTTTTTTTTTCGCTCCATCTGGAGGAATAAAGCCAAATCTGTAGCTCGTGAAGTGCTCGTGGCTGCGTCTCCACCAGCAAACTGATGTCTTGACCTGGGTTTTTGGGAGAGCAGCTTGAGGGAGGGGGGGGAAGGCTGAGTCTGCTTTGCCCCTCTCCGTGTGTGCACCCCGTGGCAGCCTGGGTGACCCCAGGATGCTGGAGGCAGGGTCCGGCACCCACGCGAGCATTCTCTGCAAGCCCAGGTTGAAGCACTGCTCGAGTGGCATCTGAGAGCGTGCGTCCCCACCGGGATGCAGGAGAGGGACCAGGCGGGGATGC